AAACATGTATAAAATTATATAATTATTTTCAAATGTTTTATTTTTAGTTTAAAAGATGAGACAGCTTAAGAACATTTCATTAATTTATTTTAAAAATTCGCTCATAAAACTTCAAAATTTTACTTAGAAGTCATAAGATCAATATTTAAGCATTAAAACTTTATTAATTTGAAATAAATTCTACTTTAATCATTAATTATGTAATAAAAAAAATTGCATTTAATTCTCATGCAAATTAATTAATCATGCAAAATTAAATAATTAAATACAATTATATGTACGCAAACAGTTTTTAATAATAATTTTATATCTCCTTGAATTTTTTTTTCTCCCTTTGAATACATTAAAGGCCAGATCATATTTATCCTATTTAGTAGATACGCATAAACCATTTTTTTAAATACGTTAACATGCTTACAACTTTCTTAGAAGCTGTTGTATTTTTATTTAGAGCAGATAATAATTAAATTATAATTAAACATAATATATCATGTTTAAATATAATTTATTTGGTATTTTGTTTAAGAGATACTTTCCTTTTAAAAAAAAAAAATATTCTCATCGGCATTAATTAATCAACGTTTTAAACTAGTATTCAATAAAAATTTTATTGTCGGCTCCTATCAAGTAAATGGATACTGATATTGCTGACGCAGATGATTATCGTTTACTCAATATGACTATTATACTGTTTGGTTGTGAACAAACTGATCAACAGTATCACATGTGATATTACTTCTACTTATTACTTACGAAATTAAAAATAAAAAGTACAAATGTTTTGAGCTTTATATTTAATATTATTTTAATTACTTTGTTTTTGTAACAGGGTTAATACAACCACTCGCTATCGGTTTTGAATTTTTAAATTAAAGAAGAAAAAATTCATCAAATTAAACAAACAAAATGGATGTAAATAATTTAGATAATGATAATGTTCATTAATAATGAAAAACTCATTACAATATCTTGATTACAATCATAATTAATTAAAAAATTAATCCCATTGTGATAATGAGTTTCCAACATTGTTATGGTGCATCTGCAAAAAAAAATAACAATATATTTTAAGTATTTTATAATCTCCTCTGTGGTGTAACTCCATAANCACCTAACGCTTACCTCTAGAGCCAAATTGGTTACGTAATTGATTTAGTAATTAGCCTTAAACTAGCCCAATAGATTTTCGGCATATGATTGGTGTTTAGTTATGTTATATATCGGGTTTTAGCAATGTTTGTAAAGTTTAGTCTACAACATCTAGGTAAGAAAATGTATCATACAATACAATAAATCAAAAACCATCCAAATAATTGGTTTTAAATGACATCCATTTTTGAGGATGTTAATTATTATTAATTTGTCCTGTATTACTATATTATTTATTTTTCTTCTTTTTTTTATATTAATTTTGTCATTATTAAATTTTTTATATAAAAAATTAAACAAAATGTAAATAATTTTTATAGCTGTAATTATATACAGAAAAAAAATCATTTTAAATTACAAAAATACAGAGTATTAAAGTGTTATAAAACTCTTTGTTTGAACTGTCAAAAGCAGTCAGGACCTGAGTATTTTTATTTCTAGTTTTTTGTTCTTTGAAGTTTTGATATAATATAATTTCTAGTTTTAAGTGTAATATATTCTAGTAAAGTTAAAAATATTGATCATTAATAATATCACTTCTTACCAGATTATTAATACCAATTAAAAGAATTTATAGACTCAAATAATATAGACATTATTTACAATTCCATTAATTTTCCTGCAATTAGAGTTGATAACAGCTAAGAAAATGCTTTGTCAACAATTATAATTAGAGTTTAAGTGACTCAGATAATTTGAAATAGTACTGAAAAATAAAATACCTATAAATAAAGTAGTTATACAAAAATAAAGTAACACAAAAATTGCAATAAGTTTTTCCTATATTTGCTGAGTAAATGAACAGTTATACTTAATGTGTAAATTTGTACAGCTGAACAGTGTGTATAGTCTATTCACTGTACGTCATGCACGATATGAAGAAGTAAAGTGACAACTTCATCACTATACACTACAGAATATATCCCTCTGTGTTACCTGTCTGATTGTAGAAGCAACAGCAATGTCCTAACAAAAATGTGAACATCCATTATTCTAAATTTAGTACCAGATAACTGTTAAGAAAAGAGTACTGCTTTTGCAAACTATTTCTTGCAGAAGCATGCACAAAGTAATACCAAAATGGACTATATTTAAAAAGATAGTTTAGTTATACAAAATAAATTTATTTTAAATAAAAGAAAATACTTTCACATTTACAATTAAAGCATTGAATCATCAACTGATTACATGCATTTTTCTAAATAAGTAAACAAAAAATAACAAAAATGTGCAAATAGTAACAAATTAACAAGATTACAAAATTAATAAAATTATAAAACACATCATAATGATCCTGGTCACGTTAGAGTTTTTAAAAAGACCTACATGCAATAGATAGCAAGTCCACATCTCTGTAGCTAATGCAGTTTGAATCTCTGCTAGATTTACATATCTCCAAGGTCTCCAAGTACCTAAGCAAGTTAAGATATTTAGCCAGTCTTATGACCTGTGTCCTCCCAATTAATTTGCACCTCCCTCCTGCTGGGTAAAATAAGCTGCTAAAGTTTATTGCATAGATTCTGTTAATTATTGATACGCAACTCACTATTTATGGCATGAGCTTTCTATGTGAACTCTGATGTGACCAAGATTGGTGCAATATGTTTTATAATTTTATTAATTTCATAGTCTTGTTAAACAAATAAAAATGTCTTAAGTGCAAACAAAACAAAAAGTGCTCTTTTTGTTTCATTTTGTATTATCAAGTGTGTTATTAAGTTGATTAACTTCTAAAAAGTAAACAATGTGGTCCAAAAATATTTATAAATTTAGTGTAATTCCTAACACAAAAGCCTAATTTCTTACAATTATCATTAAAACTTACAATATAGATATTGAATATAGTTTATATTTTATTAAATGTAAATTAAATATTGTTTAAATTAAAAAATATATATTTTTAAATAAACAAAAATATTTTTTTCACTTAACTTAGTAAACACACATATTTTTGTTTTAAATTTAATAAAATTTAAATGACTTAAATAATGTTTTAAAATTTATCTATTTGGAAACTCTCACTAGCAATCATTTGGGTGTTTTGAAAAAAAATCAGACATTATTTAAGGAGTCTTAAAAGAGTATAATGTAACAATATTTTAAACTTACTGTTCCTTATTGAGATTTCTAGGACAATCATTTGGATCTTCTCCAGGAAACTCATGAGGATAAAGCTGGATGGAATGAGGATAAAATATTTGCATCACCTGTTAAAAATATTAATTTTTTAAAAATGAATTACATCATAAAAATTAACAAAAAAATCTTTTCAATTGCAATTTTTAATGCAATATACAAACTTGACAAAATTAATTTACATATAAAAAAAGCAAGAAATTAAAAAAAAAGAAAAATGTAATACATTGTTTTACTGATGAAAAATTATAAAAATAAATAGTTACTAAATGTTTTTGGATACAGAGATGGAAATAGCAGAAATACAGAAATTTATAATTGTAATGAGACAAACATTAAAATCTTAAGAATTTCTAAATTGTAAAAGATAAACTAACACAAACCAATGTAACAAAATCTTACTAAAATGAGCATGAAGGATTTTTATTGTGCAGATATCTGCTACCGAATGACGTGCCAAATCTGATAGGGCAGATTCAGATTTGTCACATAAATGTCTCATCATTTTGCATAAGTATTTCTGACTGTACTTAAAAGAAGTCAATAAAACATATCACGTACTATATGCAGGTTAAACAAAACTATCATTAAACATTAAAAAATAGTATATATATACCTAACAGAAAAGAAATGTGTCTTGAAACTTCCAAATACAAATATAATTTAACATTCGTTAATTGAATGTTACTCAGATCTCGGATAAACTTGCACATTAACATTAAAGGGGAAAAACAACTGTTGCTAAACAAGTATAAATAATGTATGTAATGAGTTGTAAGAGATAAACAAAGATATGAGAAGAATACATAGATAATTAAAAGCTCTTATCTATTCCAAACTGGTTTTCACTTTTATGATCACATTATAGATTGCAATGGCTCACAAATTAATTATGCACATTAATTATGTATTATCAGAATTTATTAGTTTTTGTTCACAAAAAATACCATTAATTCAAAGCTAAAATAATAAGATAAACATTAGTGCGCCAGAACAGTCAGACTTTTTTAAAACTATTCTCTTCGGTAATAGATCCGAAGCAGAGATTCAGTCTCTAAAACTTTTATTTCATTGTTTTGCTTGGACTTCTTTATTGCATTGTAATTTGAAAAAGTTGTAGATCTATAAATTTCCACTGTCATCCATCTCTCTGTTTGTCTTTCCTTAATCTCAAGAACAGAGTTAGACAGACGAAAGACGAGACCAGATATGGAAACCTTAGGGGCAGGAGGCCCCAATTAACTATCTATAAATTTCCGATGCAAACCAAAAGTCATATTATTTCAATTCAAAAATTTTCTCCAAAAGGTGGTAGATAGATGACCAGCACAATGCCATTCTTAAAGGAAAAGTATGATGTACAGGGACATGCCAGTACAAATTTGAGGTGGCGAACCCATGTACATCATACACATTTAAATTAAATTAAATTTAAAATATGATTAAAAATTGCAGCCTGGCACTATAACCACATCACAATAAATAATTGCTCATTTTAATAGTATTTTTAATCCTAGATTTATAAATATTTTACAAAAAAATAAATTTACATATATTATTATTAATCTACATATCATTAAAAGTTTGAATATGCTAAATACTCAAGCTTTTAATGAGTCTCCACAAATTCATTTTATCTTATAATTTAAATAGCATTTAAGAAATGAGATAACAGTATTCATAAAGCGTAATGTTTATTTTCTGTTTTTATGCAGTTGAGATGATGTCGCCACGCCTTTTGCAAAACTCAATGCCTATGTGATGCAACATACTACCGCTAAAAGCAAATACTAGACAAATTTTCTTGTATATCACAAGCAATCCTTATCCTACAAATTACGCAATTTAAATCTTGTATAAACTAAACAAACTAAGAAACTATTTTTGTTATATTATTGTCTACTTAGGACTTAGCATATTATCAGGACTTATTATACTGGTGTTCTGTTTCTGCAAAAGGAATATATAAGTCCTAATAATATGCTAAGTCCTGAGTAGACAACAATATAATAAAAATAGTATAAAATAAAAACATAAAAGCAATTGAATTAAGGCTAAGAAACTACTTAAAAGTNAGTTAATATAATAATTTAGAAAATAATAAATCATCATAAAAATTACATTATTACATCTAATTTTTATGATAACACAATCTTAAATATTAATAAAGATATAAAAGTTTATATATTCACGGCCTGCTCATCCATCCGTTCATCTGGAAGATTTCTGAGAAACTACAAGAATTAGACCCAAGATTTTTAGGAATTAAAGAATTGTATTAGATGTAATCTCCTTGTAGAACTTTGTATTGAATTACACACCCATTTACACAACCTCTAGTATTATGTTACAACAATTTCTAACTGCATTGCATCACGCATGTTTAGTATCACCGGTATACCCTACATTCTCAAAAGTAAAAGTCATAGTGTATTGAGTCAGAATTTTCTATTTTACATAAATATTCATAAAATAACTTTATACATGTATAAAGCTGCATTTATACTGTATGTAAAATGTAAAAAGATATCATTACAGCTAATATTTTTTAAAAATTATATCAAACTTTTACATAATGCTACATACAATTTTTAACTACCGTTAGTCAGATTTGATAGGCTCTTTGCAGCAATTTATTCACTTTTATTATACAGTTACATTAAAAGTTTGGTTTAAATCTTCTGCTTTAAGTTACATTAAATAAAGCAATTCACATAAGATGGATCGAAAACTAAGAAAAAAAAAAAAATGTATTTAGAACATAAATCCTAATTCATAAATAATGTGTCTGTTTAGAGCCATAGAAAACGTTTCCTTTTAATATGATTTTGTCATTTCACCTGAGATTTTGGATGAAATTTTTAATAAAAGCTGGATTCAAATAGTTTGTATTTAACTTTTAACAGTTAATCGAAAAAATATAATATAAATATAATAAATTTACTTCTTAAAATGATTAATCTTAGTCCTTGTAAGTTGAAACTTAGTAAATATCCATTTTACATAGTTTATACCTTGGATGCTGTTTGCTTCTTCACTTGCTGATGTATTTGAATAAAAGGAAATTCAAACTGCTTGTCAACAAAGCCAAAAATAAGAATGAATATACTATTATTTAAATATGGTGCCAAGTTTTTTCTTTTTTCTGTTTTCAAGTGACGTATCAGCTTTTAACTACTTAGTTCACAAAACATATAAACTCTACGATAGAAATACAAACTTATCCATTATTTTGGTTAAAAATAGACTCCAAAGTAAAAAGTTTCTCATATGATGGCAAAATAACTGTTTACTGATTACAAAATGATTGAAGCATATTGACAGAATTCTTAGAATTTGGTTAAGTTGTCGCTTGAGATCAATATCTGGTCTCGATTTCTTTTGTCGAATGGATTACACTTAGATTCAATGTTATTTCCTTATTAAAAATAAATCAGCCACTTAATTATCCTTATTTTGTGAAGAGATTAAATAATTCATTTACGATAATATGAGTTACGTTTCTATCTCCCTAAGTGTCTTTGACAAAAATAAAGAAATTGACTTCTCAATAATGTAACCCTCCAAGTAATAAGTTTTTAAAAATTTACATATCAGATAAAAATAATTTATGATTTAAAAATTATTATTTCAATTTGATTTTGGAAAGATTTCACCTCCTGTTTTCATAATTTTGCTTAACTGTTTACAATCACTTAATTAAATAGAGTGAGAAGCAATCAAAATTGAAGGAGTTTATTCCTAAAATAATTTTTTCCATATGTCTTCATTATAAAATAAAAAGTATCTATTCTGTTTTTGTCTTAAAACTCTGGATTATAAAAATAGAAAATCGAAAAATTGAAATTACTTTCATTTCAATCCATAAGAATGACAAAAATAAAACTTCTATTTTTCCTCCTTAGCAATCGATCAAACATATCTTCGGAAGAATAAACTTTGTTTGGAAACAAATTAAACTTTCCTAGCCAATTCATTTTAAACTATATTTAAATTTAGCTATAAATTTGAAATTTCAAACAGAACAGTCTAAATTTAACCTGACCTTATTTGTCATTTGCTAGTAACATATACATATATTTCATTTTGTTAAAAATAGCAGACACTGTAAGAAATTACAAAGAACTTTTAAAATTGAAAATAAAACTATAAACTTTTTGTCATTTCTTTTTAATCATAATTATCTACTTCACTTGTCAAACTTGGCATTAAACCAAAGTGACCTTACATTGTAATTTACGTAATATTCTATCAATTTCAATAAAATTACACGTAAATATATAATTATAATCATTGAACTTGAGAAACCCGATTTTGCTCGCCTCAAACTTGTTCATTTTTAAATTAATACTCGCCCTATTAGTGTATTAAATGAATTAAAATATAGATCGGAGAAGCAATGAGATGCCAATAATTAAATTAATCTTAGTGGTAATAATTAAAGTAATGGAAAATGAACTCCAGTCTCAGATAAATGTGATTTAACATATACTTACTTAAATAGTAAATTTATACTAAATAAATATGTAAAGTGTGATTTCTAACTGGTAGTTAACTAGTTTAATAACTATAAATAAATAATATCTTTAGGTTTTAATATAAACTAATATCTTTGTCTAGTTAGGCAGCCATCTTTAGGTTTTGGAATATAATATTTAAATGTGAACAGTAATATAAGTTACATATTAAATAAAAATAAATCTTCACAAGTATATAAATATTTTACAAATCAATTAATATTCAGTTAACACTATACACTTACACGCAGGCAACTTGTATATATTTGATAGTTAGAATGCAAATTCGTATTTAATTTTTACAAAGAAATTTCGATTCATCACAAAAAAATATAAAATAGCTATTCAAAAGCAAACGTAAGAAGAGTTATAAAAATAATCAGCAGGGGATACATTCAATTTATTTACTAATAGTCCACGATTCTTAAACAATATAATTGCTTATTCATCCCTCGATTTTGTTGAAAAGAACTCTTTCTACGCAGGATATTTAAATCTCGTGCAGTCGGAAGACCACTTTGATACGAGAAATCCTCTACCAATCTATCGACATCAAGAACTCGCACCAATTCTCATAAATGCATATCGTAACACGTTCCTTCGGCATTATGAACTTCAGACACAATGCATTTTTATAATGTTTTTTTATATTCTCGTTCGACTAGTTTATCTTCTCGTCTCCGAAAGTTCATAACACTGCAAGACGACTTACAATACACATTAGTAATTCCTCAACTACCAAAATATACATTTTTAGATCTTAAACGAGTTAACAATTTAAATCTGCAACATCAGCTTAAACACTATGTAACTGATATTAAGCAATGCTAAATCTAATACAAACCTAGGTTAACATATAAATGACGCCCACTTTCGGTTAATAAAATAAAATAACATTAAACATCTAACGTAGACCTCAAAATTGTAATATTCCGCCCATACCACACTGCCCCAGAAGGGGTCTAAACTTTAAAATATCTGGTCATAAATTATTCGACTGACATTCTTAGAATAAAATAATATTTTCATTGTGCAATCATTTATTTGTCATTGCCTGTAGATAATGATTAATCGAAAGAGGAGCTATTTTAGTTCGGAAATCGATAAAATAATGGACTTTAAAGTGGTTTAAACTGTATTTTTTGCCGATCAACATCGACTAAACTACACATAAACGAAAAAAATCAAGTTATGTAATTGAATACGTAAGTACGAAAGGTCAAAGAACGTTCGTTTCCAGTTACGAGCCTGTATTAGAATTTTTATATATGTATTTAATTATTTATAACTTTAGCTGGAAGCGAATAACTAGTAGCCTAAAACGGAAACTATTTAAAAAAAAAACAATCATTAAAGTTCGATAAATAAAAACACGAATAAAAAAAACAGAACGTATATGTACCGGTTCCAGTCGCCATGTTGTGTAATCAAAAGTAACAGTAGACGTCATTCTCGCGGTAGTTCCGCGCAAGCTTTTTTCGCGGGTAATAATAATAATATTTTTTCAAAAATTTAGATCAGTGACACGTTCTACAACGAACAACAAACCGAATCCTCACGTTTTAATATATAATGCGCATTTTTCTAAGTTTTACAGTAATGGGCAACGAAGCGCGGCAACGTACAATACGATCACAACGTAATGCACGCACTTAACAACGTTTCGCGTGCGTTTGGCTTAGGAAAAAACACATAAAATATGTTTTTAATGGAAATAAGATAACGAATCATTCATAATTCAGGATACACGCGACAAAGCAGTAAAAGTAATATTTATATTATGCAATCGATATATAAACATGAAGCGACGAGCGAAGCGACGTCGCCTCTATCGGTCGCGACTCTACACGAAATTTAGCAGGTTTATTAATCGTAATTTAATTTGTCGACTGTTCGGAATAAACAAATGTTTTATTTCTGTTATAATTTCGTAATTAGATTTTGAAGTTCGGGTAAATTAACAAGGGAAACGGAGAGGGACGTCTCGAAAACAAGATGGCTGCGGCCCACGGTGCACTTTGTTTACTTTTGCCGTTTCGTTATTTTAAATGGATAAACTTTCGTAACATCTTATCGTAGTGACTTTATTATAACGATTCGGTCGAAATTAGCGATCGCATATTTAAAATCGTTTATAAACTCGTATAACGAGAAGAAATTTCGATATAAAGACTATTTTCTCGAATCTAATACATTCTAAATGAGAAAATCGAAAGTTAAAACTTACTAGAGAATGAATAAACGATAAAAAGTCCATTTTCTTCTTGTAAACGTCTTTAAGAACAGCTGTTTAAAGTCAATAGTGACCTTTTTTTTTTATTATTATTTAGCCGTGGCCTAACCGGACGACGAAAGCAACATCCTCTCCACCGCTTCCATTTCCCTAAAACCGCGCCCT